TTTCACCCTCCGGACAAAAAAAAAGGTGTTGGGTTCCCCCCACCAAACCCCCCCCGCCCCAAAAGCTGGGCTGGAGAATTCTGGGAGTTGAAGTCCACTCATCTTAATATAATAAAAGAATCTTGCAAGTCTGATTGTACTGGACCTCCTCCTCCTCCTTATATCTCGGTGTATTAGGGAGTTGTCTACCTGAGTCGCTTCTGAATGTTATCTCATTGCTCTGGACTTAAAAAAAATTTCATCCCCTTTTGCCTAAGTCACAGTTCCTGGATACCTCCGTCAAGGTCCTCTTCCTTACTCTCTGTAGGTTTCCATATTTGGACCATCCGGAAGAGAAGCGCATTCTAGTCGCCCTTAAGCAGCTTTATCAGTGTGGGGCAATTGACAGGTAAATTTTATTATTTGTATAGTTTCAAGCAGGAGGAGCCCTTCGCCGGCACAAAAGAGTGTGTGTCCGGCAATTGGGGAACATGCTCCCCCCGAAGTGAGGCTCGCCCCTTCCCTGCTATTGTTTAGGACAGTGATTCTCAACCTTGGCCGTTTTAAGCTGTGTGGACTTCAACTCCCAGAAGGCTGGCTGGGGAATTCTGGGAGTTGAAGTCCACCCATTTTAAAGTGGCCAGGGCTGAGAAACACTGGTTTAGGAAGTCCCTTAAGACCTGGTTATGTCACCAGGCCTGGGGGGTCTTTGGAAACCAGAGACATTCGTAGATGGCTCCACTGTGATTGATATTCTTGCTCCGTGGGGTTTGTATATTTTAATTTTTTTTGACAATATTCTTATTTTAATAATTACTTTTTATCCTTTTATATTGGGGTCACGAAGAGTCGGACACGACTTAACGACTGAACAACAAAAATCCTTTTATAAGGATTGTTTTTATCTATTGGCTGTTGTATTCAGCTGTTGTACGCCGCCCAGAGTCGCTTTGTGTGAGATGAGTGGCCGTATAAATGCGATAAATAAATAAATAAATTAAAGTAAATGGTGTGTGCCCATTGATAAGGCTTTGCCAACTGGAGCTGCAGCCAGTCAGAGGAGACACTGTGGAGCGAAATGTTGCAAGAGTCACCTTTTTACTATAGTAAAACCTTAATTTAACAGACCAGGAGGGCAGGGAATATCCACGCCTCCCAAATATATGTGAAATCTGCAAGTTTGTAATAATAACGTAATAATGTAATAATGTTTTAATATTTAATAAATTAAATCAATAAAATTTAGTAATTCAATAAATTAATGTAATGTAAAAATTAAATTAATCAATTAATAAAATTTAATAATAATTTTAATATTATTAACTGTAATAACATCATGATAATAATAATAAACTTATATGCTGCCTGACTCCCAACAACTCGGGCAGCTCACGAAGACATTATAGTAAAATCAATAAAAGACCAAAGATGGCAAGCACGATGAAGCAAGGGGTCTTCCTTTCCTTCGCCAAAAACCTGGGCAAAGAGTCAGGCTTTCACAACTCTTGTAAACAACAGCAGAGTGGGGGCCCTCTGGATCTCAGTCCCGGGACCTCATTCCAGAGAGCCTTATGTCATTATGCAAATGGTGTAAATTGAAGCAAATGGCATAAACTTAACCTAAATTTAACATCCTCATTTGGAGTACTTTAGATACCATGGATTGGCCTGTCACTTCAGGATATACACAGATGGAAATTTTGTTCGTTGCATCCAGTGTCTGCTAAATGGGAGGTCTGTTAAAACAAGGATTCACTGATTTTGCAACAGGGTAAAGCTGGGTTAATTAAACAAACTTGCTGTATTTATATGACATACAGTGTTCAGACAAATAAATCTTGTTAAGCTTAATGGGGTGGCTAATCATCATGGAGTGCTATTCGAGCATCTTGTATCAGCCAGTTGATTGGAAAATATAATCCTTCCTTTCACATATCTTCTCTCCCATCTTCAAATGGTAGGAAAGGTCACGTGACCAAATTGGGCCAACTCATGGTTTGGCTTCCTCTCCCTCCTAACTTGTCATGTGCCGTCCTCAAGGCTGCCTCTCTTGGCTGTGATGACCTGCTGCTCCCGATTGCGGCCATGTTGTCTGTGGAGAAGGTCTTCATTCATCCAGGTGAGAGCCGGTGGGATTGGGGGATGGTGGCAGTGGCTGGTTGGTCTTTACTGCTTCAAGACCCACATTATTCCTTGGGTTGGTATTGCTGGAGGCTCTTTAGTCAGAACTACGCGTGTTCTGTAGGGGAAAAGGTAGTAATAAAACCAGGCTTCCAGGACAGCAGAGAACTAGAACATTTTTTAAAATCACCCCCTCCAGTTGCATATGAGTGAACAGTGCAAGATGCATGATAATTACCTGGACTGTCAAAAGATGATGGTCTTGGAATCTTACTAACCTGTAGATTTTGGAACTCTTTGGCTCTGTGGCCAAAATGCATTGATGGTCCTGTGATGCTTTGAGGAGAGGAAATTTCATCATTTATCATAGCTCATTTTTCACTGTGGGAAACCCAAGAACCCAGAAGAAAAGCATTATCATAATGTTTTCTTACCTGAAAGCCCCTTTCCTTAAACTACACATTAGGTTGTGACCGTGTTCCCATAATAAACTCAACCATAATGTGGTTTGGTGTGTTTGGTTTTTGATTAATTATGGGTCATCAAGCCATTGTCAACTCTTAGCGACCACATAGGTAGATTTTCTCCATGATGATCTGTCCCCAACCTGGTCCTTCAGGTCTTCCAATGGTGTGGTTTGGCATGCCTGGTCTAAAGGCAGATCACGATTCGGAGTGTAACTAGGGAGCGATTCCTTAACCACAATGTGCAACCATGAGTTGTTGTAGGTTAGTAATGAAGGTTAAATACCTTCATTCTTATCAACATGTTGTCTGAATCTGGACTAACATCTAGCTTATGATTGAGCAGTGATTAGTCCTCCGGGAAAGTGATGCGAGGACAGGAGTAGCTGGAAAGTGGAACTGTTCTTAGTGGCATCTTTGATGTTCTTCCTTTCTTTTCACCCTCAGTGGCTTGGGGGGGTTAACAGGGGACACCAATGGGATCATGGCCTTCCTTCATCTCGCACAGAATGTTTTTGTTCCAGCTGAGCTATGAATTGCTTTTTCTGTTGTCCTCAAAAAGTAAGGATATAAAATAGAAAGTGCCAGACGGCAGAATTTTCTGGAATAGTTGTCTTTGGCAGCAGAGAGGCACTACTGGACACATTCCTGTTTTGGAAAGAATTTTGTGGTTTGGATGCCTTTTTTTCCTCCCCCTGACCTTGATGATTGTTGATAGAGCAAAAGAGTCTTTTTTTTAAAGTGACCATTAAACATTGGTTTATTCTGTTGGAGTTATGCAACATGCATGAAGTCTGCACAGTTTGGAGGCAATTTTTAAATAGATATTTTAAGCTTCTGCAAGATTCAAAGCCTTTGAGTTGTCTTGTAAACCCTCTTCCAAAAAGCTGCAAAAAAGCAAGCCAAAAACTTCAGCACCACCCGCTCCAGGGGTGCTCTGCTACCCAAAAAAGAGATTTATGGTTTAAAAAAAATTTTTTTTTTTAAATTATTGTCTTCGGTTTCATAAAATAAAATTTTATTAAATGTTAAAAACGTTATTGTTAACATTTCCTGTAAAAACTTTATTTACTAGTTTGTAATAGTATTTATTTATTTTTTATTAAATTTGTATGCCGCCCATCTCCCCCAATGGGTGACTCTGGGCGGCTCAAGAAACGAAAAAAGACCCTCCCCAAAAAACAATCCTAAATATGATTGTGTAAAATTGGTGTCATTGAATCTATAAACATGCTATGTTACATCACAGTTTGTAGAAAGAACCTAGAGAAAAAATGACTGCAAACTTTTTTCCAGTCATATACCAGGTTCTGATTAGGAGTTTGCAAATGTTTGGATTCAGTTTAGAACAGTGTTTCAGAGTGCACGACAGCTCCCACACCCTCTAAAGCACTTTCCTGGCGATCAAATCGAAATTGATATGTGGGCCTACTTTTGAGGTCTAGCTAACATCCATTATTGTCCAAGTGGCTAAGTTCTGAAATGGCATTGTCTGTAGATGGTTCATTAAAAAAAAAAAAAAAAGCAAATCCAGTGTTTCTTGAATGATGGCAAGTTTGTTTTTGAAAGGGAAATAAAAAGGAAACCGATTCCAATTTCCATATTCTTTAGGGGATCCACAGAAGCAAAAGGAAGCTGAGCAACGGCACCAGAGTCTTTCTTTACAAATGGGAGGATGCAGTGACTTTACCACTCTCCTGAACATCTTTGAGCAATGCAAAGCAAGGTATTCGGATAGTCTTGGCCAGAGAACAGGCCGAATGCAAAACTGACCCCAGGAATATTTAGCCCTGGGAAGATGTCCAGGGCTGTCCGGCAGCAAGGTGCTATAAATATCCAGAGAATCAAGCAAAGGTTTTGATGGCAAAAAGAGCAGGGGTGGGGAATGCATTTCTGCATATCAGGAAGCTTATACTAGGTCAGTGTTTTTCAAACTTGGCAACTTTAAAAGGGGTGGACTTCCACTCCCAGAATTCCCCAGCCAGCATGCTTTAAGATGGTGGACTTCATGGCTGGGGAATTCTGGGCTTTGAAGTCCATTCATCTTAAAGTTGCCAAATTTGAAAAACACTATATTAGGTGGTAGGAAGCTGGGTAGCAGCGGATTTTTTATGGGGATACGTGGTGGTGGGAAATCTGTCCCCCAAAAGTGGAAATCTGGATGAGCAGGAAGTTATAACTATACCGTTTTTCAAGTTGGCATGGCATACCATCCTTAAGCAAGGGGTAGTTAATCTTTTCAAGTGCCATGCAAGCTCATGAAAATACAGATATATGTAAGAGAGATCTCTGGGGTTGAGGAAGAAGTGGGACTATCTCAGAACATTGATGTAGTTAATGATGAATGGATGGATGGGTATTTCAAGGTCAGATTTATATGGGAAAAGGACCATTATGTCTTCAGTCTTGAAAAAGAAATTTGAACAGCTCTTAGAGACTCCACCTTAATGAATTCATTAACTAATGAATACTGGAGTTTTGGTATTCAGTGTCCAAGATTTGGAAAATTAATTCCTTACCTTCTGGACAATAAACCTAACTAATGAGATTCATTATGAATCTTTTGTTCTGGGTTTTATTGTGCTATTAAGGGCATTATAATATATTTTTAAACATATATTTTTCACAAGATTGCCAAATCCCTCACCCTGAAGATTTTGTGTGACTGTGCCTGAGAATGGTGAAATCTTGCAAGAAATCTGAATGTGCAAACAAGGACATCAAAAGATGCCTCACAAGAATGGGCCACCTCATGCGATTTTAACCTTTTAAAAACACATATTTAATTTGAGAGTACTGTAGGCACCATCTGAAGATGTTGGGGGCGGTTTGGTGCCTGCTAGCACTTCATCACTGATCCCTGCCTAAAACAGTCTGCTAATGCTGATAAGAATGTAAGAGACAAAGCAGTCCTTCTTGGCTTAGGGGTATGACAAAATGCAATCAATACAGTTTCTACTGGGCGGGAAAAAATGTAATCTTATTTGTTTCTCTGCCTTGATGCTCTTCTCCAGCAAGTCTCCTTCTGCTTGGTGTCAGGAAAATTGGGTCCACTGGAGAGCTCTGAAACTGGCTTTCAGTGTAGAAAGACAGCTTCGTGAAATCGTCAACAGGCTGAAGCAGGTAAATTAAAGCTTGCCAAGGATGCATGCAATGGATCTTGAATCCTTCCTTCCTTCCTTCCTTCCTTCCTTCCTTCCTTCCTTCCTTCCTTCCTCCTTCCTCCCTCCCTCCCTCCCTCTAACTGAGATCCATCTGTCCATCTCTTTCTTCTGAGATCTTCAGTCCGTCCGTCCGTCCATCCATCCATGACTGACTGACTTCTGTCTCTGTCTGTCTGTCTATCATCTACCTATTCATCCTTGATTTTTTTTATCTGATATTTATCTTTTATCTTCTGAGATCATCCATCCTTCCATCCATTTGTCCATCTGTCATCTTCCATGTATCTGAGAACATCTGTCTATCTGGTCTGTCTGATTTATTATCTGCTACAATCCAGTTTACAGTAATGATTTTTAAAAAATATAGTAAAAATTATAATAAAAGTGCAATTATAATAATCATCATGCTTTCTATAAAATTGCAGCCTAAAAAAATAAAGCAAAAGACCTAAACAGTTTCCTTTAATCCCAATAAAAAGAATATTTCTCTCTGGGATTTCGTTCTCCAGCTGCCAGACTTTCTAAGAGAGGATTTTGACGGTTCCAGAAATGAGATCCTAAGGAGGTGTCTCTGTGCAGGTTATTTTGCCAATGTGGCCAGGAGGTAAGGGCTTCAGTTTGGGGTGGGGTGGGATGGGGGGGTTTAAGTTGGTGTGGGGCAGGAAGTTGTGCCCATAGCACGCAGCCTTTGGATCATAATTTTTGGTGCAGAGATGTACGTGGCTTTTGTGATACCAATAGAAGCGAATGTGTGTAGCTCAGGGTTGAACTGTGGAGTCCTTGGGGTTCTCTGAGCTTGGCTGTTTTCTTGCAAACATTTTGTTACTCAGCTAGGCAACATCTTCAGTGCTAGAATGAAGATGTTCTAGCACTGAAGATGTTACCTAGCCGGGTAACGATACGTCTGCAAGAAAACAGCCAAGCTCAGAGGCCAAGGACTCCACAGACTTTTGTGATTTCCCCTGGCCAGAGTCCTCTGGGAATCTGGGGGACTATAGTCCACCCTGTCCAGACTTCCTGGCATTGGGGCAAAGCAATTTCATTCCCCCCTTGTTTTGGGCTTTCATTTCAGGTCTGCAGGGAAGTCTTTTCGCACCATGGATGGCCACGGCAGCGTAGCCTATATTCACCCTTCATCTGCTGTAAGTTCCCTCTTTTGGTTAGGTATTATTCAGCGGTGGAGACTTTGCTGTAAAGACCTGGAGGGAAAAGTCACTCAAGCAGATTCTTTGCATTCATGACCTTACTGAGCCTGTAGTTCAGTGGCTCAGCGTTTGGCATGGGGGTTAGGAGTAGAGCATTGGGCATCATTCTGCAACAAAATATTGCAGTTTCCTTGGTTCTTCTAGTAGGAGCACTCCTGTTCACGGTTCCCCAAGCTGGCCCCTCCAGGTGGATTGTCCACAAAAGAAGGAACCCTTTCAGACATTGGCCCCCATGATGAAATAACACAGGTTCAGGAAACCCTATTGCTGCCCAGAAATGCCCTGGGGATGAGTGAGGGATTAGGAGTAGACATCTACATCTCAAAGACTCTACTAATTGCATCTCCTACTGTCCCGCAATGAGCCTATCATGCTAGTAAGAAACACAGCCACCCTGGAAGACTTTTAT